TGTATTTTATATATTGTTACTTCTAAAAATTACAAATTTTAAGGAATGATATAACGTAAATAATTAATTCCTAAATTTTATAATCATTAAAAATAGTAAAATAATGTTCTCATGATGCAGTAATAAAATTTTAGGTATCAATGCTGATTGCACTGATGACGAGGATTGTGCACCGGTGAATTCCATATGTATTTCAAAGAATTGTTTATGTAAAGCAAATTATGTGTCTGTATCTATTGATTCATGCATGCCAGGTAATCATTTATAATAGTTTAGTCTCATAAAGAAAATATTGCTAACTGAAATTTTCATGTTTATATCATTAATAATGGTATTTCTAACGTTTGAACATTCTAACATATATATTTCTAGTATCATTATTTGGCAAGCCGTGTTTACTGGACATTCAATGTTCCGTCATTACACCAGGCGCGATTTGTGCGACTAATGAACAGAGCAATGATACTGCAGACATAATGGAATTAATAAAGATAGCAGAAAATAAAGTTTGTAACTGTAGCAAAGAAGACTATTACAGATTCGGAAACTGTTTTAAAAAGAAATGTAAGAGTACTTTATGCGCTGAATTAACTTCTTTGTAAAAATTATTTATTAAGACATTGATATATTTTCGCAGTCCTCGGTGAAACTTGCACGAATTTAGGAGAATGTTATGAAAACTGGAATCAAAATAGAGTAGTTTGCAGAAACGGGAAATGCGCGTGCATTTGGGGCTACATGACATCGAATGGTGTTTGTGTAAAACATCCGCAAAGTTCACAATTTTTTTTGAATGGTAAGTAACCTTGACTCGGTTAAGTATCGGAATAGAAAATTTTTTCACTTCATTTTATTTCCGTTCACGTTAAAGCAATATACAATAACGAGAACCTTTCTCGCGAGCGCATAAAAATCTTTTATGTAGCAGAATAATATACTTGCAGTATTACGAGTCGCGCATTCACACGACAGAACTATTTGAAAGCTGTATTGTAATTTTTGAGATTAGCATCGATGTAACGACATGGTCCATCTAGAATAGACTTTTTTCCGGTACTAATAAAAAGCGTGGAAAGCAGTGCTCTGTCGAATTGCTATTTTTCTAACACACAATCTCGGAAGTTTAATAGTGCCATAAATTCTATTATCACGTAAAAATCGATAACGGTAGAAATAGCTCTCACTTTCCAAGCAACGTTTTGACTAATGAAACCTATTTCTGTCGTACCTCTTTCCATTTTATCACTATTCAGGGCAACTATAGAATAACAAATTGATTAAATTATGCTTCTTTCTAGGTGCAACTAATGTCGTATCCAGGGGACTCTTTTTAATCACATCTTTTATACTCTCTAGTAAATTATTTTAGATTTACGAAAATTTAAGAAGATATTTATGAAAAAGATACAAATATTGTACAAAATTAAGTAAATTATATTATTTGTTATTACTTACAAACATTTTTTTAATAACAATGTGTGACAAAAATTAATAAATTTCGAAAAATAGTTTCTTATTTCTAATCAAAATTAATTAATCTAATCAATATTATCAAATCTAATCTAATCAATATCTATATTATACATAGAAAAACTAAAATTAAAAAAATATTTTAATAAATGAAAAAGATAACATAGAAAATGTTATTCTGCTTGTACATTTTAGTTAATTACTATTAATCGAATTATAGTGACCAGACAACTAATCTATTTTTCGCAATAAGTTTATTACAGTTTTTTAAGATTTGGGAAATTTTGGGGGGATTATTTGTTTCAAATTGATTGTGTGAATCCGATAATCTTATCGGCTCGCAATTTATTTTTGAAAATTAATTCAATTTAAATGAGTGTATATTATATAGTAGTTCAACATCTTAACACTTGGACTGGTAAGACGCTTCGTATTTCAAGTTTTAAAACTAATCTATCGTTCTTCTATCTAATTGCAATTATATAAGTTTCCTGAAGAGATACCGGACTTTCTTATATTTCTCAGAAACTAAACATTACACTTTATCAATCCGGATAAAAACATAATCTGTTTAGAAGTAAAAGCTCATAATTTATATATTTGTGGCTTATTTCTATAAAATCAATTAACAACGAATTCTGCAAATGTTTAAAAATAAAATTCTTATTACTTTCTTTTGCAAACTGCATAATTTAAATAATAGTGGCTATATTTTTTATAATATTACATTGTTGTATATGTTTGTAGTTTTCTAAATATGTTTTGTTTATATTGTACTCTTTCTTATTTCTCTTATAATATAGTTTTAAATATAAAATCGGAGTACAGCTTAGATCGGCACATTTATCTGAAAAATAGATTAAAAGTTAACTTAATCTTTATATAGAGTGTTGCGTTATAGTGTTAAATATCGGAGCTGAAGGCAATTCTGTATTTACAAGAAAATCCTCTAAAAAAAACTATCACATCGCATGTTTGCGTTTTGCAAAACAGCATGAAATATGCACATATAAATAAAAAAAACGTACGTTTCATTATATATCAAAATGAAAAGATTCTAGAAATTCTCATATGCATTCACTTGTAGGTATTTTATACAGATATATAAAAAAAAAAAGAATTGAAATAAGTGTGTATAAATGTTTGTTACCTATTGCGTTTTGAGACCTCATTTTTTACTTTGTTTATTTTCACAAAAAGCTAATTATTGCCAAATTTGCAAACAGTATTATAAAAACTACTATGTTAAAATCCGATAGAAGACACTTTCTAGTTTGTATTTATGTTTCTATTTATGTTTGTATTTATGTTTAAAGTTTTATTTCAGTTTAGCTTCTGTTTAAGAAATATTGTCCAAAAACAAAGTGGTATGACAGTATCAGTGATCTCCCTCTATACTATAACGTGATTATCTGATCTTTTATGCGTGACACGGAGGGACGAAAAAATGAAACTATATGTAGGCAGCGTGTGATTTAAATACGCTATTTCCGGCGGTAGAGATTGATTAAAGAAATATTGCGTATTTAAGATTCCGCCAAACGCTTGATAAGGAGACCAACTAGTCGACACGCGAGCCACGTCGCGTCGGCCGTACTCATTATGACCATTTCTACTGCGCGATCAACGCTCGCTTAAAGTAAGCTTTCGATGACGTCGTCGATGTATTTATGGATTGTGACGTCATAAAATGGAAAGAAGAGAGGTCAAGGCGTACTATTATTAGATATATATACATTCTTTAGGCGATCGACCAGACGTAAAACTTTCACTAAATTAGTAGACTTCGCCATCACTGAGAATGACTAGATTATTGTAAGAAAAACTTTTATTAACTATCTTTATTAATGATTATTAATAATTAATTAATCAATTTAATAAATTGATAAAAAAGTGTTTGGTACAAACTTTAAAATAAGCACATTATCAATTTATAAAGATTTTTTATTTAAACCGTTATGTTTCGAATTTTCTGTCAAATATATGAGGTGTTCTAATAAGATTGCGTAAATTTATGAATAAATTCAGCACACAAAAATAACACAAAAAGTTTATATAAACATTTATATTAGCTGACATTATTTCTGAACTACACGCGTTTTCATCAATTCTCATTACAAACTGACCTAGATATCTTCACACATTTTTGTCTTTAGTTAATCGTAAATATCTTAAATTAAACTGATAGTAAACATCTGAACTGAATCAACTAGGCTTAGTTTGTAATGAAAATTAGTAAAACACGAAAACGTTTGTAACTGATAAGATTGTACAACGAATTTTACACGAAGCAAATGTTATCACGATACGACAGCTTTAGAACGCCATATTGGACTAAGAAATGATAAAGATCTCAATTTTGAAATTTTTTGACGTTTTCAGCATAAATTCTACCTTACACGTATTAATGCGTATACTTTAATCCTGGAAAAAAGTTTTTGAATCTATAAAAGAGGAAAAAAGTAATTGTTATACAAAAATCAAATTATGGTTTAGTCAGTAATATAGGCGGCTTCAGGATCCCCTTAAGATTGCCATTAAACAAGGTGCGCGTAATTTACTTAAGCATCAATCTCAATTTATGGATCCATCTACAGTTTGTTACCAAGCATTAATTGGGTAATCTTAGTATGAACACACATATAGTTTACGTCTTGAAACTTTTGCTCTTTGCAAGATGTACCGTAATTCAATGCTTATTCACAGTGTTATATGTGATTATGAAACATTATGCATTTCACCAATGTACAGAGCTCGTTATATTGACATCAGATATTACATTCTTTTATCAAGGATCTCAAGATTGCTGGTAAAGGCCAAGTTTTCGTTATAGATTGCTAATGGGCACAGTACTTTCGTCGCCCGGTTAGAAATCAGTTAAAGAAAATTGTGTTATATGAAATATTCTAACTTGCTCTTTCTACGTTGCATATATAATGCTTTTTTTCAGTTCGTAAATGCTGAAATTAATAATACCAAAGGCTACTACCATTATCAAAGAGGGAAAAAATATTATTAATTTCGTACAATGTACTGCATGCATCGTTGACATTACAATTTGAACAGCATTCTGCGAACAACCTCGTGATCTTTCATACTCTTCCACACTTGCGCAATCTCCATTTATATAACCTGAGCGAAATTACCACCTATGCAACACAGATACGAAATCAGATTAAGGAAAATTATTTCTAACGATCGCAGGAACGAGTTACTGATATTATCACAATATTTGTTTGACTACTTAGATAGATTACTATCTTCCTTCAATTTAATTAATCGCTAGAATAATACAACTTTTTATTCTTTCTAGATATAACGTTTTTTTTTTGTTGATAATTTTATTTATATATATTGACTTAAGGTAGTTTTAACTAAAAATTATTTTAAATATTGTTCCTCGTCCCAATCCTATTTATACCAACTTACAATGAAAAACCTTTGGAAGCTATTATCTAAGCAAAAATGTCATATACTAAATTGGATAACTGAATCTCAAATGATAGTGGGGAACATAACAGCTGTCAATTTATTTCAAAAGTGATACAAGAATACCTATACATGTGGGAAACATGTTAGGAACTAGGAACAGAGAAATTCAATCAGTTATGTAATTGACACCGAGATAATGTCAATCGATCATATTAGGGTGGCACGAGGATATAGATAGGGAGCATTAGAATCGATGCAAAGCTATGTAAAATGTTTACATGGTTTCAAATTGTTTCATGTTATACAACCGAATTTTGTATATTACATATTAATATATTACATATTAATATATATCTCTAAATTAGGATTAAAAGTTCTAATTTAATTAAGATTTTTTCAAATTAATTAATAACTGAAAAATTTAATTAATTAATTTAAATTTTTTAATGTTATAATAATAATATTAATGTTAAATTTGATTAATTAATAATGATTAAATAGAATGTTTTAACATTTTAAACCAATTTTTAAATACTGATAGAGATTATAAACATTTTAACTTTATCAAAATTCCAAATCAATTAACTAAATAAATTTTAAGAAACATTTTTACTATTAGCATATTAGATTTGTGTATTTATTATATAAATTCTATGAAACAAAATTTTCTTAACTTTTACGTTAATGCTTTTTTATGATAACTCAACGAATATAGATATAATTGTTATATAATATAAATATGCACGTGTTATATGGCGTATTATATAGTAATTATATTCGATATGTGTTAAGAATCAGGTAAAATTTAAAATTTATCTATCAATTGTTAGCATTAGAAACATGTTTTGAATACATTGTCGTAGACACAAACACGAAAGTTCAAAGATATAAACTTCGACTTTATATTCAATATCTCTTATCGCATAGATGTGTATATCTATCACAAGAAATCGAGCCGCTTATAAATCTTCGAATAAGGTGATTTGATATCGGATATGGTATACAAATGCTTCTCTCTATCAGCCAAAACGTTCCCTCGTTTATCCGTTATTCGCGCAAGCTAACGAAGGGATGCGAAAGGTCACACGCCAACCAGATGGACAGCCGATAGAGGCTCGACCTGGCTTCTTTCTTTATAAAATGGGTCAGAACTCGCTCACGCGGATAGGAAGTGACGCTACTACGAAGATCGTAGGCACGGAATTTCAAGTTTCACCACACGGTTAAGCTCTTGAATTTTCTAGCATTCTTCGCGATGCCTTCGTACTGATTGTTTACTCAAAAATCATATAACAATTTAAAATGTTGTAGACATTAAGCACAGAATAATTTAACAAGAGAATAATTTAAGTAAAACAGTAAAATATATTGTTAATAGTTATATCTTTAGTTATTTAACAGCAACAAAGAGGATAATATTTCTTCACATTCTTCTTGAAGTCAGTTTTCATTGTCGATTATTTCCAT